TTCTTAGAATGAACCCCCTTCAACAAGACTGTGTTGAGTTAGCAAGGAAGGACGATCAACCGACGGCGGGACTACCGTAAGGTACCGACTATGCCTTTAGTGGTTTTAGTGCTTGTTCTTTTTCTTTGCCGGGGACCTATCACACTTGCCGTCTCATTGATTGTCGACTGACTCCGGAGTGGACTACGATTACGATTTGGGGTTGTTGAGAGAAGGATTTACATTAAACACATTCTTGGATGAAAGAGAATGAACAACAATCAAGTGTCAAGAGGTGTCACAGTATTCATCTCCTCTCCTGTCGCATGGTAACCAGACATTCCAAACCTGAGGGAAGGAGAAAATAAACGAGGTATACTCCGGATCCCGTTCGCGGAAATAAGAACTAACCTGAAGGAGAGTTGTAATGGGATCGTGCAGTGTGTGGGGACTTTCTTTTCTTTTTTACCTACTCTTAGTTCTCTCTGTCACCCTCCTTTCTTGGCTCTGAAGATCGACTCGTCATAAGCCTTTCCCGTCACATTTTAATCTTTTCTCCTCTCTCTCCCCTCACATCCAAAGGTTTACGTACTGTCCTCGCTACCAGTTCTTATGCGCGGTACCTTCGCTGTATGTGTGTTGTTACCCTGCCAATTCCCTGCAGCTCCTGCGATTCACGAGAGTCTATGCTCGACTGGTCTCTCTACTCCAAACTCCTCGCATCGCCACTTACTCAATAGCGAATCTGATTCTAGCTTTTTTTTTTTTTTTCTTTCCTCACTTGACCTGTCGATTTAAATCCCCGCCTCTAATCAAACGCGCGCATTAGGTGGACATAATCGTACCGTTCTCCTGCACTCTAAGTCGTGTCGTGCATCTTGTCAATTATGCGCGCTCGGTAGCCGAGTTCGCCATCTAGGGATCTCGAGCTGGCATGGACAAAACACCCCAAAGGCGAAGTACCGCCTCGGTGCACTCAACTACCCCTTCGTCATTGCGACATTGCCTCTACCCTTCCCCGGTCACGGCTCTTCCAACTGGTGACACACCCCCGAGACAGAGTCCCAAACTGAAGAGTTGGTTAACCCAGCCTCCCCTCCCTTGTATCATTCAAGGGATACCAGAGTTCACAGTGGTATACTAACTAGTCACTTGTTTCTTCAAGATAACTCCGCATCGCCAAAACCGGCAGCGCTCACTCGGGTCAATAGACGGATCAGGATGGATACCTCGTCGCAGATGAATACTGGTACGATTGGTGTAGGTCGTTCGATCTTCGGATGATGTTAATGTGTCATACAGAAATGTCATGGCCGCATGATCTGTCTTCTATGACCGGCTCGCCCAAGCCGAGCTCGCACACGTCTAGATCAAGTATGTCTGCAATATGATTGCTATGGAATCAACAAGTCATTGGACATATTCATCTCTCATACATAATACCTGGATTACTAACATGATGGTCTTGTGTAGAGACCCCCGAACCTGGATCAACATCGCTGGTAAACCCATCCTCCTCTCTGCTGCAAGACCTGTTGAAAGAGCAGCGTGCGACTCGAGGGTCGCGAGGAACAGCTTCAGAAGACATGGAGGATAATGGACCCCATACGCCTCGTACTCCAGGTCGTTCCCGCTCCAATTCTCAGGCCCAGTCACAGGAAGAGCTGAGCTCTGATCGGCATCGGAAGATCAATAATGCTCTGGCTGCGGGTCTAAAACAACCCCGGGAGATGGGAATGAGAGAAATGGACCAAGTGAGTGGCACCATAGTATCTTCTACGGCGATCATGCAGTCGCTAACGGAATGCTAGTATATCTCAAAGATGAATAAACAGAACTTTGACTTGAAACTCGAGATCTTTCACCGTGCCCAACAAATGGCGGCAATGGAAAAGAAGCTAGAACGGATGTTGGAAATGGAAGAAGAACTTCAACGCATGCGAGACTTGGAGGACGAGCTACAGGAGTTGCGGGATGCCGAAGAGGACAATCAGAGGCTGCGGGAGTCTAATGAGCAATTACGGCAAGAGATTGATAAACGAGACCAGGCTGTCACAGAGGCAGTAGAATTGATCTGTCAGCTCGAAGCGAGAGTGGAGGAGCTGGAAGCAGCGGGGGACCATTCCAGACCTTCTACAGCCCGGCCTCCTACGCGTGATGGCCCAGGCCCAGCTATTGAAGCGCCCAAGTCTCCTACCGCCGTGGATATTCCAGAACGGACATCCTCAAAGAAAGGTACAACACCTGGTGACCAGCATCGCCGAAGGTCTTCGGGGACACGCCATCTCAAGAGAGCACCGTCATTTCTCCATAACGAGAACCAAAACACGGCGACCCTGCGAAGTGTCTATAATCCGGCCGATGATCAGTCTCGCTCTGAAATGAGCATACTCACGAACTCCGAAAGTATCCACTCCATGAACGAGACCGGCGAACCCGATTCTCCGAGGCTTAGCGCACTGAGTGAATGCAGTGAACTACATATAGGCGATATTACTGGGTCGTGTAATGATTTTGATGAAATCGAGATACCTGTGCGCAAGAGAGCGTCAACAGCGCAGAGTGCCATGTTCTCACCCCTTACGAGAGAAGACCGGGAAAGGGATCAATTACGTTTTAGTTCATGGACCCCGCCGAAGCCAGCTATCGATCCAGAAGACACGCCGAGAATGAATATTCGGCCTGTGCTGGATGTTTTCCGGGACACTGATAAGCCAAGCTTTGAAAGCGTCTCATGTGATAATAGCTCTAGCCAAAAGACACAGATTGACAGCGTTTTTGGAAGTTCCAGGCTACCTCCGACCCCTGACACGATGAGCACCGCACATGCATTCGGTACCAATAGGTCAAACGGCAGCGCTACGGAGAAGAGCCAGGTTGATCAGATTGCGGTTCTTAAGCGGGGACTCCGCCGTCCTCGTTCCGCAGATGAGCTGACAACCAGGCAAAGTTCCGGTAATAGCAGGCTGACTGACGGTACAGATACTAATATCAGTGAGGTCATGCATCCGCCGCTTAGTCCCGACGAAGGAGACGAGGCGCCTGCTATATTTCCCTTGAACAGCGTATCATCGAGAACCGGCTACATGCAAAGCCAACGGCCGTTCCATAGGCCCAATTTTGGCCACTATGGAAACGGAGTGCTGTTCAATCAAAATGATCTGGAACATGTTCTCTCGAAGATTGATAACAACTATTACTCGCCACCTAGGCGCGACGAGGCTGAAGAGTCCGTTCTGGATACACCATCTACATCGCCGCCCCTTACCCCTCAAGATTGGGTGGAAGCAGCGAAATCCGGTAATCACGCTGGGAAGAATCGCGCTCTGGCCCCGGCTATTGGCCCTGTTCCTACCAAGCCTCGACTAGGTGGTACTAGAGCTCCAAGCCAGTCCTCATTCCTTGGACGTCGCCATAGCGTCGACTCGACTGTACCGGACCTTCCGATTATACCCACACTCGATCTAGGCTCATTGGAGCCTGTTCGCCAGCCCGAGCCGGACCCAGAACCTCGACGAAAAATCAGTTTTCGGCCTCGATTTTTTGGAGGTTCCAAAGCGACCCGTCGTCTCCAACCATCACCCATCCCTGATGCCACGAATGGACAAGATGGAGCACCCTCTCCAGTCATCCCCAAGAGTAGACAAATGGGACCTTCGAAGCCGACTAGAACAAATCAAAACGATAACTCGCCCACATATGATAATGGCCGAACACCTCCCCTCACATATGCCGATGCAAAGGGTGACAATATGCGCAGAACCCTTCCTCATTCATTTACGGATTCCAACATGCTGTCACATAGTACCATGAGCAGGCCACCCTCGTCTCCCAGCAAAGGACACAAAAGACGGAGCTCACTTGGGATTTTTGGCTGGATGAAAGGGGCCAGCGGTTTTGGGTCGTCCAATAAAAAATCCGAACCTGATTCTTCTGCGATGTCCACGCAATCCAATGCGTCGGTCAAGGACAGAACCCCCTCCCGTTTAGCCTATGAGTTTCCAGTTGCGAACACTGAGGCCACAGATGCTCATTTAGCCTCCATGAATATTGCAGTTGAAGACTTCGCGTCTGGTACGAAACGGATCTCTTGGGCGGAAGAAGAGGCGGCACGACGACCGAGGTACGTAGATCGTCGTCGCCGAGTTTAATCAGACTTTGAAGAGCCCGCGTACAAGATATACCACCAGAAAAGCAACCTGAAAAAAATCGGCCACCATTATCTCTGCATCACCATACGGTTTATTCTAGTTCTTTTGTTTTTAATGCGTCACGATACCCCACGAGTTATAGTCTAACAGATGGCATGGATTATACCAGTATTTGCATAGCATTCGTGTCTAGAAGTCAGGAGTCATTGTCTGGATTTCTTTTGTCTTTTGGTGTCTGGTTGGTACCAGCTACCGTTGTCTATCCTTCGTTTCTTACATTTTGTTCTCTCCCTATCTCTATCTCTCCCTCTTTGTTTCTTTTTCCCTTTCATCTCACTCTCACCCTAGTCACTCTCTATCAATTTCCTTTTGGTCACATTTCCCACCGTGGTTTGCATATTCAAGTGATTTTTGAATCGTGATGATTGATGTTTAATTATGTTTGCATCTTAGGGGGTTCTTCATTCATTAGCATCCTTTGTCTCTCGTCTCCTAATTTTTTTTTTTCCTTTTTTTTTTTGATTTATCATCATTATTCTTATTCTTTTTCTTGTTTCCCTTTTCCTATAAGCATCTATCCATGTATCCATTTCGAGAAAGCCGGTCTATCTTATGAAGTTATGTATGAATATCAAGTTCGTTTTTTCTATCGTTGTCACATTAAATATCCGAACGTAGAAGCAGTAATAGTTAATGAGTCGGCCATCGCATCCAATCTATATAATTCCGTACAGCCTATCCAATCAAACCCATCCAGTCCGAACTCCTACTCGAGTAGAGTACAGTACAATATAAAAAAATCACCCCGAAAGAACCTCCAGCTTCCCACCACCTAGTATAACGCCTAGAGCACAATATAAACGAAGAACCTCAGTACCAAGTATTCCCAGCCTCGCCCAACTTCTTCCCCTTAGGATTCATCGAGAGAATCCTCTGCCCAGGTAAGGTATCATCCGTAATGGCCGACTCAAAAATCCCCGAAATAGCCCTCTTGCCTATCTTCGCAAAAGAATCATACCCCTCACCCGCCTCGTCCCCATTAATCGCCGCCCACTCCTTCGACAACCGCGGCGATCGCCCATCTCCCAAATCACTCCACCGTGTCACCACAATCGCATGCCGGAATAAGTTCTGATACGAACCACTCCGGTCCTCGGTGAGCTTGACCTCGACCAGATACTCGGAGGGACACTCGGGGCAGCGACGCATAGGCCGACACTTACCGCAGAGCGACGCGAGGGCGTTGGGGTTGTGGTCTCGTCTGTGGTACATGTCCTTTGCGCGGTGTTCGAGGCCCTGCAGGCCGGCTGTGTTGCGGGGGACGGGGATGTGGCCGAGGGCACATTTGCAGACGTTCATGAGTTCTCCATCCCGCCAGTGCGCACAGACGGAGAAATACGGCCAGTAGTCGTCGCGCGAGTAGAGGAGGAGTCGCTGTTCGCTGACGCTGAGGCCTGGTTCGGCGAAGCAGGTGCTCACGACCCGCATGAGCAGTCGGCCCTGGTGGATGTGGTATCGGGTCTGGTGGGACCAGCCATCCCGACGCCAGCGACGGGTTAGAGAGTCAGGTGAGATACCGTAGCGGGGTCCAAATCGGTATGCACGCATGACGAGCTGGTGGAAGGTGAAGTAAAGGACTCGGCCGTGGGTGATGCGATGGCGGGGTGCTGGGCGGGCGTTGTTGCGGGCATTGGGGCAATCGAAGAGCGGGTTGATCACGTCTGCGGGTTGGAGCTTTTCGCGGCCTTCTTGTGTCCGGCGGTGGTATTTGCCGCAGGGGAAACAGAGGAGATGGTGAGGGAGTAGTCGGTCTTGGGAGATGAGGAAGTCCGCTTTGTAGTTGTGGTTTTCTGGGAGGTTTATAGTTATCCAGGGTTCGCGGCCCAGACGAACGTAGAGTGTTCTGCTGGAGAAGGCAAGACTGGCTCTCTCAGCGGGATTAAGATACTCGGTGATCTTGGCCCAGAGGTCCGATGTCAAGCTGGCAATCACGGGCTCGCCTGGCGGTCTATTGTCGAATTCGTGTACCTGCGCGTTTGGATCGGAAGGGTCAAGGTCTCCAACACCAATTGAGTGTAGCATTGCGGTATGATCGCGGCTTTCGCCTAGTTGAGTATCTTTCTGAAGATTTACATCTCGGTATTTGAGACGGTGGGCCTCCAATGGGGCCAGTGAAGGCATCTCCGGGACGACATCTTTGCTATGTAGACCTTCTTTTAGATTCGGAGTCGATGCGCTGAATCCCTTCCGGAGGACCTGACGAGATTTCTTAGGTCGGAGGGCACCAGCGAAGAACGCCCGAAACCCACCGCGTTTTTCTCCAGGGCTTTCAGCGGACATTTGGCGAGCATGGGCCGCTGAGAGGTGAGATGAGAAAAGAAGTTCCGGGAGATGGCGGAGTGGAATCAGTGGATCCCAAATTAAGAAAATAAGAAAATAAGCATCCCGGAAACTGCGGGAATGCTACGGGAGCATGTGATTTAAATCTAGCCACTGTGGCTGGTGCAAGCTTCCTTCTCCCCGCAAAATAATTACTAGTGATAGTACGGAGTACGGAGTAGTAGTAGAAGTAGTTGTAGCTATATATACACAAGGCGTATCCAATTGCATTAGGGCTACAAGTACAGCCTGATCACACATTACACAGTATCACTCTGGACACATCTGAAACAAACCGCTCATCAAGCTGCGTTAAATCACAACACTTTTTGCACGCTTACGCGAAGCGCTTCTCAACGGCCTTCCAGTTGATGACGTCCCAGATGGCACTGAAGTATTCGGCCTTGCGGTTCTGGTATTGAAGGCTAAACACGACATTAAATTATTGCCCAGTAGACATCCAGTTAGAGAAAAACTTACTAGTAGGCGTGCTCCCAAGCATCAATACCGAGAAGAGGCTGGAACTGGCCAACGACAGGGTCCTGGTTCTGGTCGGGAGTTAGCTACTGGTATCCTTAGGTGACCACAAGGAGGAACTTACAGCATAAGTCTTAATGCCAATGTTTCCGGTCTGCTTGTCCTTGACGAGCCAAGCCCATCCACTTCCCTGAATGCCAGCGAGGGCGGCGTTCATCTTGCCCTGGAACTCTCCCAAGCTGCCGAAGCTCTCGTCGATGGCCTTGGCCAAAGCTCCAGATGGGGGCTCACCACCACCCTGGCTCTTAGGGGCAAGGTTCTCCCAGAAAAGAGTGTGGTTGATGTGGCCACCACCGTGGAAGTTGATCAAGGGCTTGAGGTTGATCTGGGCGGCGATGTCCTCCTTGGCGACGGCCTCCTGGAGCTGTTCGACGGCGGTGTTGTAGCTGTTGACATAGGTCTGGTGGTGGTTCTTGTGGTGAAGCTCCATGATCTTTCCGGAAATAGAGGGCTCAAGGGCGCCATAGTCATCTGTTACCCAGTCAATTAACCATTGCATTACGTGCTTTCGAGGCGCCATGAGCGAAAAGCGCAACACATCTACTCAAATTCGCATTGCAAAAATAGCCGAGAATGAAGACAAATGGAATATCACACAACAATGGGCTAAATTAACAACATCAAAGGGAAGGGAAGAGCCATACAAGCCAGGTCAGGCAAAGTGGCCTTGCCACGGGCAAAGGTCAAACCCGCAACACCCGCAGCTTTGGGAGTAGCCGAAGCTCCAGCGCGAAGAGCGGTACGGACAGAGGTACGGATAAGAGAGGCAGCCATGGTTTATGTATCAATGGAATTGAGTTACGTTACAAAGTAGTGACCAAATGCAAAACGAGAGGGGAGGGTAAAGAAGAAAAAAAGAAGAGGAGGAGGAGGAGAAGAAGAAGAAGGGAAGAAGAGGTGAAAAATAACCGGAAGGGAGATTCGATGCAACGAACGTCATTGTTGCTCGGCCCCTCGGACTTGAATTTTCCCCGCGCCGAAATGCCCGATAATCAACTTTCCTTTCTCGTTATCGTACGTATCTCATCTCAATCGACAGCTCCTTCATGGCTCCCAAACGTTTCATTTGACCGTTTAATTGCCTTTCATCACCTACCCGACGACTCTGAAATTACTATATACACCTCCTCCTGAAATCTGCGATCGGTCATGGACTCGGATTCTCCCCCGGCCTCACCACCCGCCGGCCAAAAACGTAAAATTGCCGACATGAGCTCCGACGAAGAAGATTTTCGTCCCACGATGGGCTTCCGCGGGTTCGCTAGAGCATCGTCCCGCTCAGAGTCACCTCCGTCGCTTGGTGGCTTAGGAAGTGCTCGTCGCAATCCCTGGAACAACAGCACGCAGCCAGCCACTCCCAGAGGCGGCGCCAGCAATGCCGGCAAAGGGATGAACGGAGGAAACTCCTTCGCCGCGCGTATGATGGCCAAGATGGGTTATGTTGCAGGTCAAGGTCTCGGTTCGACTGGTCAAGGTATCGTCAATCCAATTGAGGCCCAGGCCCGACCACAGGGTGCTGGTTTGGGCGCCGTTCGAGAAAAGACAAAGCAAGCCCGAGAGGAGGAAAAACGAGCGGCGGCCTTACGCGGCGAAGTGGTGGAGGATAGCTCAGATGAAGAACGAAAGAGGAGGCAGAAGAAGAAAGAGGCGCGCAAACAGGGAAGTCGAAGCGGTACTGGCACACCAGCGCCACGTGCGAAACCTCAATTCCGCACAGCCCGAGAGATGGAGGAAGATATGGCTGGTCTTGAAGTACCAAATGTCTTGAAGTCATTGGTTGATGCCACGGGAAAGGAACAGCGAGTCTTGACCTCCACTGCCGGCTTGATGACCCCGTCCGAATTCGTTAAACCTGGTGAAGGTGAAGCTCTTAAGATTGCACAACGGGCGCGCCATGATTTAGAGGCTTTTGCGGATGAATGGAAAGGATTGACTGAAAGGAAGAAGTTCATTGATCTGGAGGAAGCGCAGCTTGTGGAGCAAATGGATACACAACAACTCCGAATGGACCAGCTAACAGAGTTGGTTGCTGCCATTGGGGGCTTGGAAATCTTCCAAGATGACAGTACGCGGGGACGTTTCGACGAAGTTACTGAGAAGCTGGAATCCTTGGAAATCAAATATCGGAATGAAATTGATGAATACCGTCTCCCCGAGACAGCTGTTGCGGCCATTCATCCTCTGTTCCGCCAAGCGATGGAGGAATGGGAACCTCTTCAAGATCCGACATACCTCGTATCAAATCTTCGTCGCCTTCAGCCCCTTTTATCCCGGAAGAAAGACGATCAAAATGCACAACGGCAATCCACTTCACCTTATGAAAGTATGATATACACTTTGTGGCTACCTCGTGTGCGCTCGGCACTCCTCAACGACTGGGACGTTTATGACCCGAGGCCAGCCACCTCCCTCGTCGTTGCGTGGAAAGAAATTATACCACACTTTGTTTTGGCGAACGTTCTTGATCAACTCGTGGTTCCGAAGCTCACCGGTGCTTTGAAAGAATGGAAGCCTAGAAGCAGTAGCAGACGCCACACTTCCTCACATCATAGCTCTCGCTTCCCATGGTGGCTATTCTCATGGCTACAGTATCTTGACGAACGACATACGGACCCAAGACAGCCTACAGGTCTCCTTTCAGATGCCAAGAGAAAATTCCGCGTTGTCTTGGATTCCTGGGACCTCAGAAAAGGCTTGGTTGATGGTATTCAGCTGTGGCGCGATGCGTTGGGCTCAGAGTTTGACGTATGCTTACGAAACCACCTCTTACCACGACTGGGTCGCCATCTCCGTGAAGATTTTGAAGTAAACCCGCAAGACCAAGATGTCTCAGCACTAGAAAACATCTTCAAATGGAAAGATTTCTTCAAGCCTAATGTTTTCGGGTTATTGCTGGTAGCCGAATTTTTCCCTAAGTGGCACAATATTCTGTATATTTGGCTCACCAATGACCCGAACTACGAAGAGGTTGGCGAGTGGTTCTCCTGGTGGCGAACCCAAATCCCTGAAGATGTCAACGAGCTGACTATCGTCGACGACGAGTGGAAGAAAGGCTTGCGGACCATGGACCTTGCATCTCGCTTGGGTGATCGTGCTGCTGCAGAGCTCCCGCCCCCATCATCCACCACTGCAGAGCAGCTTCCTGAGGAAAAGCCCCATGTGCCAGCGGAAGCACCACCCACGAAAGCTCGCAAGCCCAAGGTTGTAGAAGAGGTCGCCTTCAAAGACATTCTCGAAACCTGGTGCACAGAACAGGGGCTCATCATGCTCCCATTGCGAGAAGCACATCCGCAGAATGGCCAACCTCTCTTCAGAATCACAGCCAGCGCTACCGGAAAGGGTGGTGTCGTGGCCTTTGTCCAGGGAGATGTTGTCTGGGTGCAGAACAAGAAAGCAAAGGACGTTTGGGAGCCGATGGGGCTGGAAGACCAGCTTGTGGAGCGTGCAGAGAGCAGATGATATCCCTACTTTTTGTTATTTTAGCATGGTCTACAGTTTTGAGCTAGTTTTCACGATACCTTGTACTTAGATATCCACTTATCATGATTACATTGATATACATATAATTATAGAAGTGGCCGAACACACCTTCAAACCATTGAACAGATCATCCAATTGCATGCATGTATCAGGAAACTAACAGTGAACGTTTGCAAGCCTAATAGTACTACTGTTATAGCAAAGAACAAGACACTCATGCGCTAAAGGTCGCATTACTACTCCGGGCCGAGCAGTAGAACTCTCACGCAATGATGGTCAATACAGAGAGAAACGACATACATAGTAGCAATGACATAGAAGAGGCTGGTTATGAAGTAACTGCCAAGAACAAGATTGGGACAGGGCAGGGGCCTGTGCTCCACTTTTAACTCTTTTATAAATTACTTATTTGAACGGTTATTCAACAAGCACTCCGATGTGGTGTAATGGTCAACATCGCTGTCTCTCACACAGCAGCTCGGGGTTCGATTCCCCGCATCGGAATTATTCAACACTTCTTAGTGTTGCAATCTTTTTTCCTTTCGATATGTGGTAGGTTCGTTTTTTTCTTCCCTCTTCTTGTTTGTTTACCCACTAACTTACTTTACTACCTTATTATCCATTCATATGTTTCAGAATATCCTACATAGGTATATATGGTGGCCGTACTGAGGCTGGTGAATTTCGTCAGACCTCATCATGCATACATTTGATACATACAATCCCATATAAATTAGGATAAAAATGGCGTAAAGGTTACAAAGACCGGACGCATGTATGTTCATACACCGGAAACTTGTCAACAAGAATAGAAAGAGAAGAAAAGGGCCATAATCATTACAAATTAACCACTTTTTGCATTCAATGGAAACATAACCATTGAGTGCTGTGGTATCCATCAAACATAAAGCCATCTTCTGGTCCCCTTTTAGCCTCACTGATGAAGTAATCCCATCTTTTACCGTAACGTCGTTATGAAGGACATAAGCTGAACACTTCTATCTAACCCTTGTTGTACTTCTCGTTGAATGCATTCACAGCTAACACAGACAACGTTAATACTGCCCTGAAAGAAAGATGTTATGTAAAGAGAGTTGTCACTTACCAATGGCAATCTGGCGGTACAGCCAATTCCTTGAACTCTCATCCTGCACCGGAATGAATGGTCCATTAGCACCCCCCTTGAGCGTAATGCTCATACCAGTGCGCTCTTTAGAGATGGTTTGGATGTCGGTCAAGCGTATATCCCACTCAGTCTGGAGCTTCTTGGTGCGCACAAGCATTATCCGGTCGTATGTCAACATGACCAGCATGTCTCTGCCGGGAAGTTCCAGATGCGCAATATAATCCTCGCTGAAGTACTTGCCGTCGTCCGCTGTTTTGAGCCAGAACTGACCCAATGCCTCTCGCTGCGAATATGGTCGCACAATGCCGTCTGTTGCAATGAAGCGCGTGAGACGAACACGGTCCAGGCCCTCTGCATCAAAGACAGTAGTAGTGTTCCGTACACCTTCAGCAAGATCTATAACATCGTTAGTAAATGAGATCCTTGAATCGCACAAGTGCACATACTCGAGGCAAGATCAAAGGCGCCAATAGCCGGCTTCGTAGCAAGACCTAAGACACCCTTTCCAACACCCTTAAAGAACCCTTGGATACCCTCCTTTTCAGCGCCCTGCAGTGGATGACGTGCGAGTCCTCCGATACCGCTTGCTAGGCTGGTTGCAAATGCATTACCGCCAGCTGTGATACCATACAGTGCATGTTTCGGCCGGTTTCGAGATTTAGACATCCGCCGTTTGTCCTGGAACTCCTTGTCCAAGGTGGCAGCAGCAAGACCTTTAGACATGCTTCCGGTAAGTTTGGCCATGCTATCGGAGAATCCGAAAACAGATTTCTTTACAAAACTTGTAGCCCCCTTGGCAATGCCGTAACCAAGTTCTTGAGGCCTATCAGTCATGACCAGTCCTTGGTATGGCTCATAGAAAATTGCGGCAACGCCAGAGCTGACGTTATTGAACAAGCCAACGGGGTTCCCGAGGAAATCTGCTGATCCAAGGACGACATGCACTTGCCGGAGGAATTCCTGGGTATAGTGTCTCTGAATGTTGCCAACAAGAACTCCAAGCGATACACGAGCATTTTCCAGCATTAGTGCGTTAAGTTGAACAGGTGCATCATTGATGTTGCCCATCGACATGGTCATGACATTCACAAAGAACATCAAAGGATTCGATGGTTGCATGGTGTCCTCGGCGTTCACTCGTTCTGTCCGCATGAAGGAGATGTCAAGTTGCATGGGTTGCAGATGAAGAAGCTCGAAGTACACATCCTGCCCAGCACCTTCACTTTGAGGCTCTGGGATCCTTAGATCTTCATCACAAAGCTTTCCTTCCTGTTCTTCAGACCACGAGGCACCGGGAACTTTCACAAAGTCCAGCATTGCGAACACAAAATCCTCATCAAGCTCTAGTGTCATCTGCTGCAGAAGCACGGTGGCATACTTAATGTAGAGTACGCCATAGGAGTCATCCTTCACGCGTGTAATCATGGCGTGGAAAATCGGATGTGCCTCCATTTCCTTTCCGGTCTTTGGAACAACGCTGGGATACAACAAGATAGGGAAAATACCTCCATAAAGTTGATTGTCAATTTGGATCCACTTAATTGTGGTATTCAGCGTTTGATAAACCATGGATTCCCTGTACTTAATATCAATTTCGCGGAAGGTCAAGTACAACAGTTCTCTCATGTTCTGATTGATCAGGGAGATGCCAATACCACCAAGGCGAAGCTGAGCTTTGAAGTTAACGTCCGAATCCAACTCCTTAACCTCGAACCCGGTGCTAAGACTGCTTTGAGAGGTCTGTCCTCTTTGCTGTCTATACATGCTCTTTGATGCCTTGAAATTCGATAGGACTAGAGTCTGAGTCGGCCCGTCGGCCACAATATTGATGTCGACAATTTTTTGGTGTTCACCATATTGTGTTGGCGGTATCCTCATTGGTATCAGGTTACCAATCTCGGCAAGCTTGATGTGCCTTTCTTTGCCATTACAAGTCAGAACGAGAGATTTGTTCTTTGTAGCTGGATAATCCCAGGCATATGGCATGATACTTCGAGCTGGGAGACGGTAGCGGATCGGCCGCCACCCATTTGTTCTGTCATCCTCGTAATCTTCCACGTTTGGATTCTGAGAGGAAATGTTAGATCAGTACACACGCTTTATCTCGATTCGTCCAGCTACTTACGGCTTGATAAAATATGAACTCCATGTCGCTCTCGTTCCGCATGGAATACGGCCAGTTTCGTGTTTCGAGGTTGAAATGCAGGAAGAGAGTTGCGTTTTCCATGACGATGTCCACTTTGATGAGTTTCTGGCGTTGATTTGCCTTGGCAAGCTTAATATGCACTGTACCAATGTCGGCAATGTTGAAAGGTGACGACCATTGGTTGTTGACTCCGGGGAAGCACAGACAAAGTTGTTTCTCAGCAACCTGGCGCAAGAAATGCAGAGGTACAAGATCGCCACTCTTGATATTAAGAACATTGGAAGAACCCGGTTCTCGAACCAGAATATCCTCATTAAGCTTGTTCTTCAAAACGAAACGAGGCGCAATGGTCACAACCTTGGTCATCTTGTATTTGCCTTCACCCTCAGCAACAGTTACACCGGAATGGAACTCAGATCTGCCATGCCTATCTGGAAGGACAACTTCGAATGTACTCCCAATGGCTTCGAAACTCTGAGGCTTGCTCCAGGCAGAATCGCCTATCCTCACTATGGATCGGTTCTTCTGGTCATCGCTTGGATAGGAGTACATGTAAGGGAGCGTTCGTCCACCGTTCCTCGGATCAGCCCTCAGCCCCTGCCCAGCTGCTGATCGAGCCGATTGTAAAAAGCCTTTGCTCTGTATTTCCATCGAGAGGCCAGTCTTGTTCAAGACGAGATATGGACTGTAGATCGATACCTTGAATGCGCCTCCACTATCAGGCACGTTGAAATAGTGAAGCTTCAACCTCAGTTGGATGCCTCTTTCATCTTTCAGAGGCAGTACATGCTCTCTCCTGAAGTCTTGTGCGTTGCCGTTTATTATAGCAAAATCACTTTGTCTGAAGACAGTATCCTCCAAGTCGATGCTGAGAAGCAGCAGGTGGGATAGTTCCACGACATGGACTGGGCTTACGCCCCCTTTCCGTAAGAAATTAGTCCAGTCCTTCCTCGTATTCTTATCATAGATGCGGTATTTGAAATCGTAAGGCAGAAGATTTTGTATCTCCACAGGGGCGAATATCCGGACGCGCATGTACGGATATGCGCTCGTCAGAGGATCCCGCGAATTGAACGTGGCATTCATCTGGAAGTAGAATGGCGGCGCTTGCTGTCCACTCTCACTTATGCATTTGATTGTCCGAGTTGGTCGTCGCATAAGATCCTTCCAATGTAGCTGCTCGTTCGACCACTCATAGCCGAAGCCTTGATCGGGCCGGATAAGAAGAGAATGCATGTATGCAGCCCCCACAGGTGCAGGCCGTGAGTCTCCAGGTAGGATCTTCTCTATTTTTAAAAGATGGCCGTCACGAGGATCGAAAACACCTAGTTCCACTGGTATTTGGGTATTGTTCTCTACAACCAGTGGAGAGCGGATAGTGATGTACTTGACGTTGTCGGTACCCAATTTAACCTCAACAAGAAGTCGATGAAGAATGCCATCTTTCTTTGGCTTCAAATTGTATAGAATCTCCCCTTCCCGAACAACAGGAATACGGCTCACGCTTTCAAAGCCACTTCCTTCAAGTTTGATACCGACAAGACCGGCATGACCTTCAGGTGCGAGTGTTTCACGCATGGCAGTCGAGTCTTCAAACCTCCAAGGATATTCCTCACCATCAGCCAATTTGGCCGCCGGTCCTTCTTCATCCGCATTAACATCAGCCCAAACATGAAGGTCAAAGCCTGTGTGGTTACGAATTCGGTACGGGGCGTCAGCTCCTCGTGGCTTTGAAAGAACGTCTTCATCAGTAGAGAGGAACTGGAACGACTTGGACGCCAGTGCGATTGTGGCAGAGGTAAGGGTGAGCTCCATCGTTTTATGAGAATAGGCGTCAATCGAAAGAACATCAGGATTGACCTCCTTTGCCATATGGAAGCCTAATTGCCATGGCTCTATAAGGGGTTCCCAGGCTGACTTAGAGAAGTTATACACGTTAAGAAATGTATCAAAGCTGGTATCAGCTTTCAGTGTCGATGACCAGTCACGGACGTCCACAGTAAACTTCTTGACACTCCAGTCGAGTAATGGCAGGTCGTGTAGGTCTCCTATTAGGATTACCCTTACACCATCGATCTGGGCATTCATTTCTTCTTTCTTGAGGATAACTGAACGATGCGATATAAGCTCTTGTTCGGTTGTATCAATCACCCCGCTGGAGCTGCGATGTGACCTTGGCGCGAGTGCAGTCGAGGACGGCCTGCCGACGGACTTCCTTCTTGAGGACTTCGCACTAGTACCTTTTCCATCAGATATTCTCTTCACCTCGCCGGTTTCCCCTTCATTAGGTTTCTGAGCTCTCATCTCAGATGCCTTGTTGACAATTTGAATCGCCATTAAGATGTCACGGAGAGAAAGACGTAGGACAAGGGGCTCAAGATGAACATTGATAGAGGTCAAAGCAGAGCCTTTTTCCTGAGGGCGGCTGTCCATGGACATTTCCAGAGTGAAGTCATCTAATATGCGAAGCCTGCTGGTTTCAAACTTGTCCATACGGCACAAGAACATACCAACCTTGGATATTTGCAGGGCTGAAACATTCTGATGGGAGAAAAGTAATTGCTTCGTTCCCAGCACGATCGCCTCAGTATGAGTTATAGCAGGATTCGCGATCATGATCACCTGGGCATCAACGAGATTCAATCGGAATGACACAGTCATCTGCCCAGCAGGATGAGCCGGAGTGTTCCCACTGGAGGGTGTAATGACAGAATCATCAGTATCATCTGCGGTGCTAGATCTAGGTTCTGACCCTTCCGGTGTATCGTCGCTTTGCTCTTCCTCCACTGGCTCTTCCGTCGCAAACGCGGAATTGGCAAATGACTGTAAAGCGGACAAATAATCCAAAGCGACTATTATTCGCGGGCTATCAATGGTCAGCATC